CTTGAAAAAGGCCCACGGACCACCAGTTGATAATATGCCTGAATAATTCAGTTGTACTAGTTTTTATGAAAATTGGTATAAACTATACACAGTTTTTTTTCTTATTTACATTAATATAATCTTTTTATTTGTACTTATGTGTAAAATATGAAATAACAACAACAATAAAAAAAATTTAGTTTTATAATGTCACCTTTAATGACCGTAAAGGTTCCAGAAAAGACCTTGAAAAAGGCCCACGGACCACCAGTTGATAATCACAGTTGTAGCTCGTTTTGCAGCTCCCGACACATTTTATTAGTGAGACAAGGAGCACAAATGGCTCTTTTCATCGTAAAGGTTGCAGACCCCTGGTATATACTAAGTATACTTAAACTTTTAGTATACTTTTAGTACAAGCTAAGTATAGTGTAAGATAAACTTGGTTAAGWAAATCTCAGATAGTACATAAAAAGTAAACTGGACGTATACTTTTTTAATTTTAAGTTTAAAATTAGTATACTTAATGGATACCTGCATATACTACTTTTTGCTAAGGGTATGTACATTATTTATAGTCACAGCTTGGTATATAAGGGGCATTTTCACTGTTATATTTTATTATTATTAATATTATTATTATTGTTATTATTATTATTATTGCCTGATCAATGAATGCTAACCCAGCAAGGTTTTTCAGTTCAGCTAATGTACATGCACGAAATATCTGTATATAGGGAGCAARGAACTTCTGCCCAGTTAATGTCCCTGACGAGGATTGTGTAAATGAATCTGTATAGCTAACACTGTTTGCTTTTTTTWAAAAAAATAAAATGAAATAAAAAAGCCTTATAGTTGTTTAAAAAAAAGTGCAGCAGCTAAGTACACAACAAACCGTGAGGTTTGTTTGGGGGACAGAGCTTCACAATGTGACCGAACGCCTGTGGCTTCTGACCTTTCCCAGCTGCTCAAACATCCTGTTTCCAAACAGTCGAGTGAAAACCTGTCGCTGGAGCACTGGTGAGCAACAAACACGATGCACTGGGAGGGATCAAACAGCAGCTGAGTGCAGTTCTGTTTGATCCCACCTGGACTGGGCCGGTCTAAAAGCCATACATGTGATTGGTAATGATGAGCTCTGCCCCCTGCGACGTGAGGCTCTGTGCCCTTCTATGCAACTTACCAGGTGTACTGTTAGACCTGTCATATAGACTATGTTCACTGCCTTTTAGACACTGTGAATCTTTTTGTACCCTCTATTTTTGTATATTGTACAATATTAAGGACAATAAACCTTGATGCCAACACAAACTGACGGCGAGCCGGCTGCATCAGAGTTATGGTTTTGATCTTCTAGGGGCTCAGATGAATATTATTTTTATATCAAAGGGTTGGGTGACGCTTCAGTTTGAGCTGTCTGCAATGTGACTGGAAAAAGCACTGGGATTACTTTTTTTCCACAGGGATGAAAACTAGAGGTGCACCGACTGCAGCTTTCCAGCCCAGAGATTCTTAACCTAATTGGGCCGCAAGGGCCTCAAAAAAACAACAGTTTTTAACTTTGGGCCACAGAGGGCCGTGGGACTGCATTGATTTTAAATAAGGTGCAATACAGTTT